CATGTATGGAGTGTTAAGAGAAAAGCGTATGCCCTACCTGTACAAAACCAACTCTGTTCCAGCCTGTTTTCTTCTGTTGGGTTGTGTTTTATTGTTTGTTTTTATGCACACTTGCTTCGTTGGTGTTGAGATTTTAGCACCTCAGATGGCCAACTGAACTAAAAAAAAGAACAAAAAAATAAAATCATTAATTATTTTTTCTTTTTTGTTGGTGGAGTTACCGTTTGTTTCCCTTGCATTCACTTGATGATTGAAGAGCAAGCTGGGAGCTGAGGGAAGGTGATCTAGAGATAAAAACTTAGGTGTTAAAGGGCCTGGCCTCAGTTTCTCTTTTGCTGGAACACTCTGAGTCACTCTGAATTATCTGATGCAAACAAATCAATCTTGATACAGCCCAAATGCACAGTCCTCCCTTCTCCATATTTTACATTGTTTTTTGGATTTCCTGTGAAGAGAAGTTACGGTAAATAGCCAAGAAGGGATGAAGGTAATATAAATTGAATTGTAGGATTTAATTTCTGTAACTGTAGCTCACTTCCTCAGCCTGCAGAACCAGCCTGAACATCTGACACTGGTGTAAAACAAGGAGAGAATTACACAAATGCCTCTATGCTGACTTCGTGTTGCTTTGAGTCTCCACCATTCCGTGCTCGTGTCTCATCTGCACTGTGCCAGCTCTGCCATATGAGCTGAGCAAGGTGCAGCTCCAGAGCTGTGCCCTTGAACAGACTGGAAGGATTCAGGATTTCAACCTCACCAGCTCAAGAGTCAAGAAAAGGCATCTGGGTATCTCCTGTTTGAGAAGGGCGGGTGTTCGGCCTCAGTGTGGGTGCTGGGTCCAATAAACATCAGGAGCTTGAAGCCTGGCATAGTGACATCCAGTCAGCAGCACTACTGTCAGTAAGGAGACTTGAGAGAAAAAACTTTGTGCCTTTTTTTTTTTTTTTTTTTTACAAAGAGAAATTTCACACAGGATGCTGTGGGGAAATCCCAGCCAGGGAAATCCCAAACAATGAGTTTTATTTTCCTGCCCACTCAACCACTCTCAAAACAGAGGATGAACCCTGCTGTTCCTAAGGTGGTGTGATTAAAGCAGACCTATTAGGGCAGCAGGAGGCATGTTGGGCTTCGGATTTCCCCTTGCCTGGAGGCTGGGCCAGCAGGCTGTGCTGCAGGTGCACAGCTCACTCGTTCATTAGTGCAGCTCAGTAGGGTGGCAGCTCTTTGAGGACCTTTCAAACCCCACGGTTCTTCCTGTCCTTTTGGTCTCTTGCTTTCAAACAGTAGTGGGAGAAAAAATAGTAGTGGGAGAAAGCTATGGTTACAAGGGAGGGTGGGGGTAACTTGAACTCTCTGGTGTCAAAAGGCCAGTCCACAAGGAATTCTCCCCTGATGCCAAAAGAAAAATAAATGTATGAACTCTTGGACACAGGAGGTCAGCTCCCATCCATAGCTTAGGAGACCAGTGTTGTGACCATCATGGCTAGCTAATTACACTGTAAGCCTGTTAGTCCCCGGTCTCAATTAGGGACCCAGAGGTTCTGCTATTTTATAAACTATGAACAGAGCAACTGGACTCCTAGGGACGACTTCCTCTATTGCTTGCTTGGGCAAAGAGCTGTGCCAGCCCTCCGAGATAAGCAGGATCGCACGTCCTGCACGGATCAGCCACGTGTGTCTAAGAAATAACACCAGGAAAAGGCCCTCTAACAAATAAACCCCGCCCCAGGATCCCAGTGTGGTGGCAGCTGCTGCTTTCCGTTTTCATTCATAATGAAAGTAGCCTTCAGGAGCCTCTGACCCTTTCCACAGGTGGTGTCCATGCCCTCGAAGCTGCCTCACCCACCTGACGTCATTCCCCAGCTCTCTGGGAGGAGGTAAGGAACAGCACGGAAGTTACCGAGGTGGGAGGGTGAACGTGCTTTCATGTGAGGGGCACAGGAAGGATGTCAGTGGGCTCATTGAGTAACGTGCAGATCCCCTTTCTGGAAGCAGCAGATATATATTATCTTATACGGCCCTCCTGCCTATACTCGGCCTGGATAAGGACAATGAAGGTAACTTGTCAGGAAAAATAACTAAGAGGAAGTCATGCCTAAAAATACTCTGCCACTCTGGCTTCCCTCATGTTTTACATTTTTGAAAATTCCTCACCATGAGTGCTGTGACAGCAATTAGCAATTGCTGCCTACATTAGCAGTTGCATTTTTAAGAGAATGCAAACCTAATCCTGTAAGGATGCTACTTGGCCACACATCTCTAAGAATTCAAGCAGAGCCGGGGAGTGTCTTCCTCCTTTAAATCCTAAGCATCATCAGCAACAGAGCAATTACCAGGGAAAAGGATCCCTAGGTGGTAAGGGGTGAAAGTAACAGTGCTGGCTTGTGGCTGCATCTCTGCTGGCACCATCCTCCTGGAGAGGCAGAGGGAGGGGGCCTCCTGCTTCATTTTATAGGTATTAGACTTGCCTCATTCCTTAGCCTGCATCCTTTTACACAGCACTTAAAATAAGGAAAGGGAAAAAAAAAACCCTGTCCTAACCAAACTTCAGAAAAAGTAACATTTTCCCTTGGCACCTTGGGAGCAGTGTAAATGCCTGTGGATAGCAGGAAAGTGGATAAGCTAGTATTTCCAAACCTGCTGAGTGTGTGGTGCTTTTCTGCATGTCTCAGACACAGAAGTCATGTGGATTTCTGTAAGCAAAAGATAACATCTCTTGTTTATTATTAACATTTCCTATACAAATATAGAATCTGTATTACTCAGGTACCAGAATCAAAAAATATAAAAACACTTGAGAGAAAAACTGTACTTTGGGCACAAGGGAGAGAGAGTGTGTCTTGCCTACTTGGAGCTCACAGTGCTGACTTTCCGAGACCAAGCTGAAAAGCTTGAAGAAACAGAAACTTTTCTTCAGTTCCTTGGAACTTACAAAAGTCAGCAGATGTCTCTTTTTCCCCCCCACATCATTCCCAGCAGGAAACCACCTGATGGGTTGACCAATATGACTCAAACCAGAATCAAAGTCAGATTGGTCCATTTCACGGAGTCCCAGGAACTTTAAAAAGCGCTCTATGATCAGCCCCTCCCTGGTCAAACACCCGTGGAGTGCCCTGTGGGGTGATCCCAAGGCTGAGCACGGCACCTTGACCACGTGTGTTGGGAAGAAAAGTGTGACGGGGGGAAACCTGCACTGAATACCAGGTAAGCATTGCTTTAAACGGAACTGTGTTAAAGTGTAAGGCTGTATTAAATACAAATTAGTTTAAGTAGTACTATATTAGTTAAATAGGACTATATTACTGTACCTGGAAGGAGGCTGTAGCCAGATGGGGGTTGGCCTCTTCTCCCAAGCAAGCAGTGACTGAATGAGAGCACATCGACTTTAGATGCACCAGAGGAAGTTTAGGTTGGACATTAGGAAGAGTTTTTTACACAGAAAGGGTGATTAGACATTGGAATGGGCTGCCTAGGGAGGTGGTGGAGCCACCGTCCGTGGAGGTGTTTAGGAAAGACTGGACATGGCACTCAGTGCCATGGTCTGGTTGACACGGTGGTGTTCGGTCACGGGTTGGACTCGGTGAACTCAGAAGTCTTTTCCAGCCTGATCGATTCTGTGATATTAAGCCCATAAAACGACATTAAACGAAAATTTAAATTCATTTGTCAGGGAGGGGAGTGGCTATAGATGGGGCATAGACGAGGAGACTTCGGCCAAGCAGCAGCACGAGGTGGGGACCCATCAGAACTCCGCAGCTCTGCTGCCCCCCACCCCGAGCGGATCCCTCCCGGTGCGGGGGGGCCGTGCCGGGGCCGGGGATCCCCGCCCGGGCGCACCGCGGGGTTCGGGGGCGGTCCCGGAGCGCTCCCGGCGCGGAGCCCTCACGGCCCGGGCGCGCGCGGCCGTTGGCGGGGCCCGCGGGGCGGGGCCGGCGCGGAGCCTCTCAAATACCGGGAGAGGAGGCGCTGCCGCCGCCGCCGCTGAGCGCTCCTGCCCCGCTCCCGGTGAGTACGGCCCGCGCCTGCCCGCGGCGGGGACACCTGCGTGTGGCGGGGTGTGCATCGGCCGCCGCCCGGTTCCCCCCATCCCCCGAGAGGTCGGTGCGGCCGCGCCCGGGAAGGGCCGCCCGCCGTGTCGGGTCGGGGGCCGGGCCCGCCGCCGCCCGGGCCGCGGGGCATCAGCGCCGGGGCGGGCGCTCCCCGCTGCTCCTCGCAGCCCCCCGGCCTGCGGGCTGAAGGGACCCCGCGGGGGGCCGTGCGCGCCTTCTGCTTTCCCTTATGGATGCTGGAAACTCCTCTGCCCTCCCGTTCTCCCTGAACTCCTCTGCCGCTCTCCCTTTTCCTTCTTGCCCGCCGAGTCTGGCCTGGCGCTCATCGGCGCGGTTTTTTCTCCCTTTGCCGTGTTTCCCGCTCGGTCTCCGATGGCCGTGTCGCTGTCCCGCCCGTCCCTCCGCCCGTGCTGGGAGCGACCCTCGGCTCTTGCTGTCGCCTCCGGCCCCTCTGTGCTTTTCCCGCGGGGATCGAGCCGCTCTCTGCCCTCCCCGTCCCCGGGGAGCTCGGGGGCTATCTCATAAATCATAAAAAGCTCCCTCTTGCCTTTGGACTACGTGGTAAAGTCCAACACATCGCCCTCAGTCCCTGGTGAGAGTTTTCGCACTGGAGGGGCGTTTGCTGGGCAGGGAAGAGGAAGGAGTTAATCCTGTAGCGGCAACTCCAGAGGGACCCGCGCTTGCCTCAGCCTTCCAGCAAGAGGGATGTGGGAGTGGCAGCTACAGCGAGAAAGCGAGGCAAGAAAGGATTTCTAATAATAGCGTTAAAACTTGCAGGAAAAGCTGGTAGTTGATACGGGTGAGTCAGTTCGGTGTGTGCTTTTCTCCGCTCTCGGTGCCTTCCCTGGGGCTGTAGGTGTCTGGCCGCCTGCTGAGGTGGTGAGTGCCTTCGGCTGTCCCTTTGTTTCCTGTGAGGAGCGCTCACGTTCCCGTGACCCAACGGCATGCTCCATCCAGGGTGACGGAAGGCTGGAGCTGGAGGCTGGGCGGTGTGCGAGGTGGGAAGGAACGGAGTGAGCGGCACCCCTTCCTTAGGAGGGTGTTTCTGTAGTGCACGTGGTCTGGTGATGGTCTGTGACTTGGGGTGACAGTGGCTCTCAAACTGATGGGTTTGGGGGGCTTCTTGTCTTTTTTTTAAAGCACAATATTTTGTAGCTTTAAAAAAAAAAAGTACGGGACCTCAGAGTTATTTAAATCACCGAAGTCTTAGTTCAGAAGGTCCATGCTTATTTCAAAAGCTGTGAACTTTTCTTGATATTTCTTGGGGTATCTGGGCCAAAATCTTGTTGTAGGATACTTGTTATCTTTTCATAACCGTTAAAATGTTTGGTGGAGGAAGGAGCAAAGTGGTTCCCCAACAGGAAATAATTTTTAAGTTTTTGTTTTGTTTTGGTTTTTTTGTAAAGGACTTTTGCAAAAAGTCCACTTGTGGGGAAGATTGGTTGGTGTTGTGTTATAACTTTCTGTCGCTAATCAGAATGAAACTGTTTTCACCTGCCTGTGGAAGTATAACATCTGAGAAGGTGTTATTTAAAAAGAAGGGGGTTTTCTGTGTGGGTTTTTTTTTCCACTCCTTTGCAACTTCTTTACATAAGTTTAGTGCTGTTCAGAGTCTTCTTTAGGATAAAGCTTTGCAACATCTATTCCCTGTAGTCTCCTCTGTGCCCGTGGTATTTCACAAAAACCCTGGGGGAATGCATTGTGTAAAAAAAGGCATTCTAGCACTGTGCTAGAATTTGATTGGATTTCTGCAACCCATTTTCCTGTCTTCCCTTCCAGGTCTCTTGTCTGTCATTACAAAGCATTTCCGTTGTGCCTGTGCAGAGTGTAACAGGTGATTGCAGACCTTGTGGATAGGCTACCTCGCACCAAAAAGGGTGGGTGTGAAAATCCTCCCTTCTGATTTGGCAGCGCCTTCTTGTTCGCATCGGGTGACATTTGCTGAATTTATGAAGAAAAAATATGACTGATTCTTGGTTAGGTGGTTTTGTTGGGTTTCTGCCCTCCCAATTTCTCAAAATCAGATTAGGCCAGCTGAGACTGTGAGTTCAGCTCAGTTTCTTGCTGTGCACAGGCAGCAGAACAATGTGCAACACTCCACCAGGGCTGCCTGTGCAAACCTGGAGTCTCTGCTCCTGGAAATTGGGCATGTCTGTACCCAGCACCGGGATGCTACACCTCTGGATAATGTGAGGGCCTTGTAAAGGTGCACAGTATGGCTTTTTATTTCTGTTAGCTCCCAAAACAGTAAGAGCTGTGATATATAATTGGGAAGGTTGGGGTGTGTGTGTGTATTCACTGAGCGCTCTCACCTGGGGTCATGTTATACGATGTTGTTTCCGGATATTTTGTGTTTCCTGTGTAACAGGATGACAGGAGTCATCCACACTCAGCAGTAGTCTGAGGAGCTGACAGATCAGATTATTTTTTTTTTCTGTAATACAATGAAAGTGTTTAGACTGGAAGCAGGCAGACACATAAATCTAGTGACTGTCACTTCTGGAGACCTTCCTGGAGCAGCCTGGTGCTTGGAAGTCATCGCTTGCCTTATGCCTCATCAAAAGGGGGAGAAGGGACTGTCTCTAATAACAGGTTTATATGCCTGATGCAAGGACTGCTGGAGGAGCAGCTATGAGGTGTTGGCTCCTTGATAAAGCAGCTCCCTTGACCTCTGGGTATGAACTACCAAGTCGAAGGGGGGTAGGGAGCCAGCCTGGTTTGCGGTTTCTCTGCTGAAAGGAATTGCCTGCAGACGAGCAGGTTTCATTTTCACCAGTCAGCAGTTCCTCAACTAGTGAAAGAGCAGAAATTACTATCAATTCTGGTTTTGGAGTTTTTTTGCAAAAAGCCTTCCTCTGTGTTTTTCTTGGCATGCTGTGGCTTTTTGTCTGTGGCAGATTACAGAGTTTTGGGGGCTGGAATTATCTCCATATCTGTGTGATGTGCAAAGCCAGGTACATGCAAATATTTCTAATTAGCAAGTGGAACTCATGGCCAAAGGTGCAAAACTCTTGAAAACTGAGCCCCTGTTAGTTTTGGATGGCTTGTCTTGGGGTTGGAGGAGGTTGCAGGGAGCTGAGTTCAGCTTTAATTAAAACTCATCAGTAGTGATTACAGATTGTGCATAGATGGTCCCTTCCCCAGAGATTTTAAAAGTCTGATTTTTTTGACCCAGAGTAGATAAGAAGGATATAGGAAAAGGAGGAGTAAAAGGTAAAAAGGCATGTTGAGTCACACAGTGTCCAATTTCATTCTTTAGGTTTTGAAAGCAATCTGTTAAGCTTCTGCGGTTACCTTGATTTGTACCAGACGTCAGTAGTGAACCATGTCCTGACACCCTGCTGTTATCCCATCTATCCTGGGAAGTGAACAGGACTCTAGCTGCCAGTGGTATGCATTAGGCACCTCCTTGCACCTGGATGTGATGGCACAGATTGCCTTCTCCGTGCTTTTTTGAAGGAATTGCTTAGTGTAGAGCGCAGGGGTGTGTTTTCTCTTTCACACCCTTCTTGGCAACAGCTGCTCCAAGAATTCTTCAGTCCCCTCCCCTCCAGTAGCCCCATGGCTGGGAGCTTTGTTAGCACTGCCTTGGGCATTAAGTGGCTTCTGTTTTTGATCCAGTCTGCTGGTTTCCCTGTCTCTTTGCATCCCAGTGGCACTGCTTGGAGGTGCTTCCTGGCCGTGACAGGCTTTGATTGGACTGTCCTTGCTGATAAACATGAGGAAAGGCCTGTACACCTTAATGCATCCTCAGAATGCTGCCCTTTCTCACAAGAGAGGACAGTGTCATTGTGGCTTTAAACCCCTCCTACCCCAGTGTTTTGCTCACCACTTTCCTTTAAAATATCAGAGCTTTTATTCAGCTTCACTGAAGTATGAGCAGGGGAGTTGGACTGTGTGTGCAATCATGGCACACACTGATGTTGAATTTTTAGTGTCTGCAAACCTGCTGTATTTCCTGATAAAACGCTGTGACCTTTGGCCAGTTCCTAGTATGCTCTTGCTGCTGTTTATGGAATGGGCAATGCCCAGGTCTCTCCATATCGGGCTGTTTTCTTCTCTCCTTTAAAGGAGCAAATACGTTCCTTGGTCAGTGTAACTTCTGGTAGTTTGCTGTAATTACTGTAACGCCTTTAGATTGACAGCCACACCAAACAAATCCACTTAGATCAGCTACTTGCCGTGTTTCGGTTTTGTCTTCTCTTCCTGTGTTTCGACATCAACCTGTGTTTCCTCCGAAGTTAGAACTGAAAGTGAAATGGTTTTGTGCTGCTTCATGCACAGTCATGTGTCTTCTCCTAGGAAAAAAAAAGACTCTTTTTCACTGTGGTTTTTAGACCTACAGCTGTAGCTGCTGAGTGGAAGAAGCAGTGTGCTGAGGCACCTCCTGTTTATCTGGCACTAGGAAATGTGTGCTCCTGGAGGCAACTGCTCTGCAACTCTGCTGACACAGTTTCCAAATGGCTCCTGCAGTGTTTCTTTGAAAGAGGGTGTTTCCTTAGCTGTGTATTTTTGTTAAAGGTGTTTAAAAGAGGTAATGTTTTCTTTTATGCTCACAGTGTTTGAGGCGCTGCTGTCAAAAGGCTTTGGTCAGGGTTATGCATGCCAGTTTGCGTTACCATCATTCGTGGCTACCTGGTTTGATGCACAACTTCCTCTTTAAGGTTCTTGATGGTGTCTGGGCTCCTGTCATAAGAGATTCCTTCAAGATTATCTTTTTTTTTTTTTTTTTAACTGACTTCATCAATTTAATTATGGTGGTGGAGTGGGAGGTTGCAGTGCAGTGCAGTGGGAGAGTGTAATCAAAGGACCAGTGTCAGGCTTCCCTTCTGGGGATTGTCTCTCTGGCTGTTTGTGCTGATATGTGGTTTTTTCATAAAAGTGAGGAATGTAAGAGATGTTTATATCTATGATACGCTTGATGTTTAGGAGCAAGGGAGCCAATTTAAAATTCATTTTCATCTTTTGGAAAAGCTGTCAAATATTGAGACAGGGTTGTGTATGCTTTCAGAGCACATAAGCATGCACCTGTGAAGATGTCTCTTTGTATCCTATCTTCCATAAATACTTGAAGTTGGTTGTTTGGTTTTGTTTTTTTTTTTTAGTGAATGTTCAGAGTCTGCTTAGGTGAACAGACTCCACTAAAATTATTCCAGGGAGCACCAGTGAGAAAAATTTCCCTTGAAAGTAAGTTGTCCAGTGCACTGAGCTGTTGCTTAGTGGCTCCATGAGTGCCCTCCTGGCTGTTGCACCAGCATCCTTGTTTTAACTAAGCAGGGAGCTTACCAAGTGCTGTTCTCTGATGACCCACGCTGATCCAGTATTTAAACTTCACATTGAAGCATCTTTATAGCTGCTGTTTGTTTCAGAAAGCAGCACAGATATTCCTGGTACTTATGAGTCTGGAAAAGGACTTCTTGTCTGGTCATATGACCTGAAGGTAACCAAGGGCAGAGAGAATGCTACTGTTAGTGGCCACCTGTGCCCATAGAGCTGTCTTCTTGATTTATTTTTTTTTATTACTTTTGGTGGTTCTTACTTTGCTTATCTAACTTGCCAGTCAGGCAAAGGAAAGACAGATTTACGTTCCTCTTTACTGTTGGTATCAGCTGTGAAATGCATCGAAGTTGCAATATGAAGTGGTATTCCTGATTTACTGACAAATCTGTGCTTATGCTGGCACATAACAGTGGTACATGTGTTAAAACTAAAATAAGGAGGATTCTTTTGTCCTCTAGGTGGCATGGCAGTTATTGTATCCAGTCCCACTTTCTGAGGTCTTTTGGCTGGCAGAGCCTGTCCAAGGGGCACCTGCATCTGTCAGAGGCACTACTGCCAAGTGATGAGAGACTGTCTCTGCTGCAGGAACTGATCAGTTTGCCAGTGCTCAGCTGTAAAAGAATGCCAGAGTGCAAGGGTCCAATGGCCATGGCCCAGCAGGAGCACCTTCTAAATCCAGAGGCAAATCTTGCATTTCTCTGAATGGACACTGTCACTTGCCCATCCCCTGTGATGACTGCAGTTTGTCCCGATGCTCACCACTTACCAGCATTACTGAGGATCTCCCTGC